AGATCCCTCTGCCCTGCAACTCTGATCTACATCTTTCTTCTCGTCGCTCCTGGAACTCATCCGTTGCAGACTATTATCTATTCGTTCCAATGAGCGACAATTCTACCGACAACACTCATAATGCACTCCTTCATGAAATCAACACTCTTCGTCAGCAGGTGGCTGCCCTTACGCAGGCCAACCCTTCCTCCTCTTCCCCTTCCCCCATCACCATTGATCGCCCACAGGCCAAGATACTTGTCCTCTCTGATACCCTCAAAGCGGCTGTACCTTCCCTTGACGGCTCTCATTTCTTCCGTCCCCCGGACAACTCTGGCGACGATAACATCCTCACCGAGTACGTCCTCTATCCCAAGAACCCAGATCAGCAGTACAAAGCGCCCTCTCTTGAGTTGCCTTGGCCTCAGGAGACCACTTCTTTTCAACGAGTGGACAAGTGGTTATCCCAACTACAGGAACGTCAGGCCCACGCTACGCGACCCTTGGACGAATTCCTGGCAGAATACTTTCACAAAGTGCACGATCCTGCATTACGGCAGATCGTCGCAGATTTTGGGCATGTCATGCGATCTCATCTGGCCGTTACAGCACGCCAAATCACCGATCTGCGCATGGATAATTTTGTGTACGCAAAGGGTCTCAAGCCAGCCCCTGATCATGAAAAGACTGCAACTATCACTAAAAATGATATTGCAGCCCGAATTAAAGCTGCTGAGGAGTACCAGGAGGCCAGCAAGCCTCGCAAGACAGCTTTGCAAAACAGAGGATCCGGTCGCAATTCCGGTTCTCGCAGCAGGGGTATTTACTTTAACATGTACCCCCACCAGCAGCAACAGTTCCAGCAATTTCCATCACAATCGCAACCTTATTCACCAGCGAATCATCATCAAGCACAACAAGCCACACCTCCTCAGCTCACTTACGGGTATGGAGAGCCCATGCATAACAACCAGCAGGGACAGTATTTTTACAGAGGCAGCCGTGGACGGGGACGCGGCAGCGCCAACAAGAGCCAGTAGGGGGCCGTCTGCACCTCTACTCGAGGGCTTGGAGGCTCCTCACGGACGACAGGTGGGTCCGCTCCGTGATTGGAAACGGTTTTCAGATTCCCTTCCACAGACAACCTCCAATAACACACACATCAAGAGCCCTTTCCCCGCATCTATCCAAGGAGGAGACACTGGCGATAGAGAACGAAGTGATCGCACTTCTGGCCAAAAAAGCCATAGAGCACGCTTCGGGACCTGGTTTCCAGAGTCGTTTGTTTACTATCCCCAAGAAGACAGGGGACCTCCGGCCTGTCCTCAACCTACGTCCTCTCAATCAATTTATCATCACAGACTCGTTCAAGATGGAGACGATTCAGGTAGTATGCAATACCCTTCAGAAGAACGATTATTTGACGAGCATCGATCTCAAAGATGCTTTCCTTCATGTGCTGATTCATCCACATTTTCGTCCTTACCTTCAGTTTCAGTGGAAGGGTCAGCTGTATCAGTTTCGCACTCTACCTTTCGGGATGTCACTGTCGCCGTTAGTCTTCACGAAGGTCCTACGCCCGGTGTTGAGATGGGCGAGGCGTCGAGGAATACGGCTGACAGCTTACATCGACGATCTGTTGATCATGGCCAACTCCAAAGCCCAAGCAGAAGAGCACACGAATCTTGTCCTGGACAAACTCAAGTCTCTTGGATTCCTCATCAACAAGGAGAAATCCTCTCTGATGCCAACGAAATGTCTAGATCATCTGGGTTTCACCATCAACACCACCGACATGACCCTCTCGGTACCGAAGTCCAAGGTCAGGGACATACGGCGAGAAGCAGCGAAGATGCTCAGCAAGGGATGGACGACGGTTCGCAACTTGGCTACGTTCATAGGGAAAGCCATGGCGACGACAGCAGCAGTATTTCCAGCTCGTCTAATGACGCGGCATCTTCTGGCATTGAAGAACAGAGCACTCAGCCATCAGGGGTCATCTTGGGAAGCGACGATCTCACTGGACGACAGAGCTCGAGCCGATCTGGATTGGTGGACACACCAACTCAAGGAGTGGAACGGGACGTCATGGATTCAGTCGCCAACTCAGATGGACGTGTACACAGACGCCTCCGACCAAGGCTGGGGGATCGTCATAGGGCAGCGCACTTGGACAGGGCTATGGCCACCAAACATACGCCACCAACACATCAATTTAAAAGAGTTACTAACCGTGTACTACGCAGTCACTCTACCGCAAACACAAGGGAGGATGCTCAACCTAGTAATCGACAACACAACCACCATCGCTTACATCAACCGGTTCGGCGGAACTCGTTCACAACCTCTGATGGACCTGGCGGACAAAATATGGAAGCATTGTCTAGCAACAGGCACAAGACTCAGGACCACATATGTACCTTCAGTATTCAATCCAGCAGATGCACCATCACGCCGGATGCAAGCGCAGCTCGAATGGAGGCTGGACCCGTCATTTTTCCGTCGTCTAGACCAGCAGTGGGGGCCTCATCGGATAGACCTCTTTGCATCGCCCAGCAACAACCAGCTTCCTCAGTTCATGACATGGAAACCTCATCCTTTGGCAGTGGACTTCGATGCGCTGAGACACAAGTGGAGCCACTTGGGCAACCTTTACATCTGTCCTCCATGGAACTTACTTCCAAGGATCCTGCAGAAGCTAGACCAGGAAGGCCTGGAAGCGACCATAATTACTCCATTTTGGCCATCGGCGATTTGGTTCCCGAAGATACAGGCAATGGCGACCCAACCCCCTTTACCGATTCCACGAACATGTGTTCTCCCTCCACCAGGAAGCGACGCGCACATCCTGCTCAAGAATCCACACTGGGGCCTTACCGCGTGGAGAGTAAGAGGACGAGGATGCTCATAGATGGCCTCTCGCCAGCGGTGACTGAGTTTATCTGTGCTCACAAAGAATCCAAGAGCACCAAGCGAGAGTACGAAAAGCATCAAGCTGAATTCGTCACTTGGCTGAAAGAGGGCTCGTTCGAACAAGGGATTAACCCCGCGATCCCAGTAGTGAACTGGCTACACTACGTGCGGGTCGCTCGCAATTTGAAGTGGTCCACGCTGATGACCATGAAGTCGGCTGTCCTCGCCCTATTTCGTGACCCAGAGAGAGTACGATCAGATGAATACTACCGCCAGTTCCTCAAGGCTGGAAAGCAAGAAGGTGTCGTTGAGTCCAGGTCTGGTCACTTTGACATCACACCTGTTTTGGACCATTTTCGGCAGTCATCAGCAAATATGGAGTTGCCTTTTGAGGAGCTTACATGGAAGCTGTGTTGGCTCTTAGGCGTCTGTGGCTTCATGAGACCAGACGACATCAGATGTGTAGATGTCAGTCTCTCCAAGATTGTGTTAGGGAAGCTTCAGCTTGTTGTTGTTTTCCCAAAAGAGAAGAGTGATGGGCAACGTATCATTAAGCATGTGACCATTGGTTCTCACTTTGACAAGAAGCTATGCCCTGTCGACGCATACACCGCTTACCTGGACAGGCTGTCTTGTCCTTCCACTACCTCTCCTCATCCGAAGGACCCAACAAGAAGCATTGTACCTTTGATTAGATTTGTGAAAGACCACACCCAGCCGGCGCGTGCGACTACTATTGGCTCCCACATGAGTAGGATTTCTTCGCTGATGGATTTAGGAGACAAGAAAGCTCCTAAGCTCCGAGCCTTAGGTTCTACGCTCGCGGCTATAGCAGGCGTACCAGTGGCTGATATCATGGTGCAGGGGAATTGGTCGTCCCCGAAAGTCTTCGAGAAGCACTACCGTTTGTCGAGTGCCACCTCCAACAACATGTCCATGAGCACTCTAGGCTAGATTTTCTTTAGTTAGTTGTTCATTTCGTTCAGTTTTCTTTTAGTTTTAGTTTTGTTTTAGTTTAGTTCTCTTTGGCGATCCCTCTGGAGCCACATACGGACATGGTACCGTAGACAATGGTCTACTGAATGGTCTACGAAGGACGACCTATTCACATTGTCATAGGTACCATGGACGTATGTCCCACCCACACCACCCCTTTTTGGCTCGAGAAGTAGATGTAGATCAGAGTTGCAGGGCAGAGGGATCTTTTTATTTAGTTTATTTTTCTTTATTTCTCGTCGGATTTTCAATGAAGAAAGGTGACACATACGTCCATGGTACCTATGACAATGTGAATAGGTCGTCCTTCGTAGACCATTCAGTAGACCATAATTGTCATTGAATATTAATATCTCATTTTTAAACTCCATGTTGTTGTTTATCGAGACATTTCTAATAGTTCTTGTACATTATCTCTTACCATGGAGCACCCAGATCAAGTCAAATGGGCTTTAAATGAAAGTAAAACTGAGCACGTCTCCATCAAATCTTTTGTGACAAAGTTCAAATATTACCACAAAGAAACTGCTGAAAGATATTATCTAGTGCTTATCAATAACACAGAAATCGATAAGTTTCGTCGCTAACGTCTATTGATTTTCATCACCACCTCACGCTTCATTACCCCATTCTTCTTGATCCTCTGAAATTAAAGGTGGTGTCTTTAGCGCAAATACTTTTGTTTACTCCAACTGTGTTTGTGAGGGTGGGATGTACAGCAGTGGCTGTTCATTCATACGGGTGCGGACTTTTAGCCGCTGTCCAGAAGGCCTCTGTGTCTGATTATGCTCACTGTCGCTCATCTGATGCCTCATGGGTGCGGGCAGAGATGGAGTTTTTTATATAAATCATTGCCTTTACTGTGTCTGTGAGGGTGGGATGTACAGCAGTGGCTGTTCATTCATACGGGTGCGGACTTTTTAGCCGCTGTCCAGAAGGCCTCTGCGTCTGGTTATGCTCACTGTCGCTCATCTGATGCCTCACGGATGCAGGCAGAGATTAGGCCCTTATTATTACCCTATGATGTTGCAATCGATGTTTCCCTCCTCATTAGGAAAGACGGAACTAACTCCAGGCTCTTGTAACATTCTTAACCTTTTTATCGGTTTAGAATGAAGACATTTAATGACTACGTGGTGAACGACACTCATGGTCACAGCACCTTCGAGCAGCAATACTCCTGTTTTACTTCATATGTTGGCAAGGAGCGTGGAAACGGAGACAAAGGAGCCTTGCATTATGTTCTTGACATGGCTGAATGTCGGGCGGAGTACCAACAAATGTTGATGCTTGGCAACATAACCTCGTCCCATGTATCAGCTAGCAGCGTCCTCCGATCATTCGTGCAACATCAAGCTGAATGTAACTAAGACGAAATGTTGCATGACTTTTTATATCAGTAGGCTTTCAAATCACAGACTAATGTTTTTGTTTTGCTCCCTTTAGACGCCATTCAAGCAGTAGGGGAAGGGTTGGACGATAATGTTGCTCCACCAAGACAAAAACAGAAGCAACAGCTAACGCACAGGAGCCATCCCATGTCAAGACGAAACAACCAGCGAACCGCAAGCGAGCTGGCGAAAGATCGTTATCTGTGAGTTCAACATCTACATCAGCAATTTCCTCGTCCTCGTCGTCATCTAAAGGCTGTGGTGGATCGAACGACTCTCTAGTGGAAGGGGTAAAGCGGCGTCGGTTTGAGAAAGGGCCCGCCTCATTTAGGCCACTTGCGGAGATTGCCCATGCGATGGTACGATCTGTTACTGCATTCAAAAAAATTGATGCCAGGAGATAGACTGTTGATTCTTACTATTTTCTTTTGCATTTCATAGCACTTTGGGATATTTGAACCCTTACCTGAGTCCATCGCAGTAGAGGATGATGTTTCTCCGAGACGGCAAACTCTATGTCGCCTGTCCTTGTCGTACCTGAAAAAGGCAAGCGATACGAGCAAGCAAATGAATCCAGAGTATAATATGTCACTCAAAGATGCCTTGTAAGTTGTGCGCTCATTTTTCTAAGTTATCTGACTTGACTGCAGGTCAGTATCGCTAATCCTCGCTTCTGTTACGTTGTCTAGCGTCTCGCTCTCAGGCGTTTGGAGTATGTTTTGTCCCGGTGCGAATGCTGCCTTCAAAGCTGACTATGAGCAAGGACTAGCTACATGCGCTGTCAAAGAACTTGAAACTGTAGAACCAGGCTTTGCTGCAATCGTTACACCTCTGGTGGAGATGGCAGAATGCGCAGCGAAGACGGACGCTGGCGTGAAGGCTCAGCCGATCATCAGCAAAATTTACGCACTCCAGGGTGTACCTGGCTCAGAGCCGTATTGTCGCTCTCTTGACGCTCTCAAAACAATGTAAGCTGTTGAGTTATTTCAATACGATAGAGAGGGTATTCTACGAGTAGTAGAATTGATGCTAGCTTAAAGTATGCCATAGCCTAAAGCATGCAGAGCGACCTTTATCTGGCCGAACCAAGGATGCATCGGAAGGCGATGCTGTCAGTCTTTGGTCCGCAATCTTCCGAGAGCAACTACCAGCAACAGCGTGTTTGGCACTCAATCTGTAAGTGATATGATGGTGTTCTGCTAATAACACCTGTCAGAGTATACCCTGATACTGATTGGTTTGTGGACCGACTTTTTGTAGAGGAGAGCAGGGACTTGCAGCTGCTAGACAATCGAATTTGCATCTTTTTCGGATCTTCGACATAATTGCAGGAACGCGAAAATGTGACACCATCCTGACAGTGGAAGACCTTGAGGTCGCAAATTTCGAACTAAAGAAGGGACTTTGCACGGACGTCAAAGACGACATACAGCTTCGCAGGACAATCAAAGCCATGAAATCAATTGGTATGCTACTAAAAAAGTATGGATTGCAGTGCCCTCCTGTATGTTGTATGCGTGGTATGGAAGCAACAGTATTTTCAATCAAAGAGCTTGATGACATTTGGGTCGCCGGTCCTGCCTGTGACAAAATCTTACTACCCCAAACGGAGGCCGAGGTCCTAGATTTCCTGAAAAACGATATGCACCGCCTATTTAGTCTTCTCGTAAGAGTGGAGAGGATCGTCTCAGTTTCCAGATTTGACATTGTCTTTTCGCCATAATACTACGCTAACCATGGTCATATCCTTGCACATATTTAGTTTCTGTATGATCGATATTCCAAAGATGTGATTATCAAAAAGTCGGAGTACGAACGCCAAATTCGCAGGGGCAGCAAGACAAGCCTGCTTCCATCACCTGAAGAGGAGTCGAAGAACAAGGAGTGGGACCTTCTGGTGCTGAATACCCCTGCCAAGCAGGCTGGCAGACGGAAGTCCATCGTGGACCAGCTGGAAGATGACTACGAGGAGTTTTCTCCAAGCTCGCCATCTGATCGGTATTCAACCGTCTTCAACAAGCAGAACGACAAAATCAATACTTCTCCAAAATCACAACCTACTCCAACTGCCACCAATTCGTTTATAGAGCGATTGACTGCAGCCGTCGATGATGATGAGGACACTTGTTAGAGGTTGCCCATCAGTCGGGTTTTATTGTATCCAATAATGACTCTGGCAATACATCGCATGAACCCAATCTGCACATTTCATCATAAAACCTCTAAAATCTTTAAAAAAAGAGAGTAATCTTCACTTGAGATGAATATTATTGTGCCTTGCAAGAATTTTTGATGTGAATTTGGAGTGCCTATTTGCTCTTATCGACTCCTCGACGTTGTCACCGTGGACGAGTGTCTGTATCTTTTGGGACCAGGCTCTAGCAATGTGCCAAAGACAAAGGTAAATACTGACGCTGTCACTAAAGGCGTTCTTGATGGCAAGGCGCTCCGTGTTCGAATCATCCGTTGTAATGTAACGGAATGGCCCTGCATGCTTGTTCAAAGCCGAGAGCCAGAGTTCGATAAGTTTGGCCTTCTTGTCAGTCGTAAGAAGGAAAGCAGCCGGGATGCCACGCATGCTGCGTCGTTCCTGAACAGTGGCGGTAAAAAGCTCGAACTTGCCAACTTGACCTTTTCTGTAATGGAGTCCAATCCAATTGCTTCGGGACTTGCCGCAATTTCTCCAGCTGCCAAAGGATGCAAATCCAACGGCCACTTCACCCTTGTTTTCCAGTTTCTCTACAACCACGCCATCTTGTGCACGAAAGACAAAAAAACTTTTTTTTGCAAGGTTATCCATCCGTGGAGCCCAGCCTTCTCCTTCCAGCAATCCCGCACAACATTCGCAACATCACCCGATATGACAAAGTCGTCCCGATTGAGAGTTCACTCGCGAGACGACCATGGAGCTGCCAAATAGGGAGAGAAAGCTTCTCACGAATGCGGCGGTTGTCAAGACCAAGCTCCACAAAGTATCGGATTCTCGTTTTCAACGCATTGCTGATGCGCTGATGGTGGAACTCACTCGTCTCGCCCAGCGCGTGATTGTGTTGAGGGTAATAAGTGATCCTGACCTGGTAAAAATAATAAAACCTTAAATTTGATTTGTTAATGAGGAAAACGTTCATGCTGTTAATACATGCGTACAAAAAGCTACATTTGTTTTTTGCTTCTATATAGTAAGTTATATCAATTAGGTTAAAACATTGCAGGTGTATCCGCCATTTCAGCTGTTCGTGAACTTGACGCGAAGGCGCATCCGCAGGGTTGAACGCCGAAGGTACATACATGTACGTGGTCCGGAGCTTCGTTCCTGTAGCCAGGCAGTGTTTCCAGATTCTGTCTGCCACCTCCATCAGTTATGGGGAACGGGTCCCTCCGAACCTGTTGATGTAGACGATAGTGGTCGTGTTGTTGATCACTAGGTTTCACCATGCGACTTTGTACCCGAGGTAACGTCACTGCAAAGTACACAACTTGGAGCTCCTTCCAGTTGATGTGATGGGCTTTCGCGCTCGAGGTCCATGTGCCCGCCCAGGTCTTGTTATTGATCATAATGCCTCAGTCGTTGTCCGAAGAGTCCGTGTAAACGTCAAGTTCCGGACGTCTGCACCCATGAAGTGCCGTTCCAATCCTTCAGGTGGGAGATTGCAAAAGTCAAGGTAGTATTCTAGGGGGATCTAAGGGTACAATAAAGGTGTCTTTATTCTATTTATACTAGCTAACGTCCTGCAAGGAATGCTCTAGAAAATTGGGCGAAATACCGTATTGTACAAAATTATCTATATACTAAAGTCGTAAGGTTTTGTGACTGTGTGCTAAGTAACTTTTTGGTCACGAGACACTACACACAAAAAAACCGGCCTCACCCGTAATAAAGCTGAGTTAATAAACCACGTTTATACATATTTCGATGTGTGTGTTCATATTCATCTCTGCAAGTCTGTGCGTTCCAATAAACATTAGGTTACAGGAGTGTATAAAAGGCAAAAAAAAAGGTCTTCTACCTCAAACCGTCCATATCATACTTGCTTTCTTCTACACTTAACCCTCACTTTTATTATATTGTGCATTGCACATAAAAGCAACACCATGAAAGAAGCTCGCAATTCTCATTGGCCCACTCCAAAGATTCATTCGACAAGGAGTCAAACTCTGAGGGCAAAACAAAATTCTTCTTTCTTCTCCCTATGCCCCATCTCCTGCGAGAGGAAGCAAAAGAAAGTAGGAGAGCGAAGCGACCTCATTCACTATGAAGGAAATTAAGAGAGAAAAAGTGAATCCGACATTTCGCCTCAAGCTCTTCCTTCTCATGCTCAACGTATAACCAGGAACAACATAGGAAAGAAGGCTACCATCACTTCTCTTTCGGCTTCTTTCATGGATCCTTTGCCCTCCGCGAACGCTTTTCCTTCCACATCATCCCTTATGTGCTTGAACACAGAAGCTGCCGAGTCGTTAGACTGCTCCCTTTGTCAAAAAAAGCCATCGGGCTCCAACGCCCGGTGTATGACTTGGAAACTAACCCAAGCAGACAATCGAGAGCCTTATGTGCACCTACAAGATCCATATGAGCAGGAGTGGGTGAAGCTTGGTGATTTGGATCCAAAAGAAGTTGAGCAGGCGTTTTCATTATTGGAGAAATGGGAAAACTTTAGTGACTTGAACGTCGATGATGTCGAGAGGGCATTCGCGCCCATTGAGAAAGGTGTCTCAAGGAATTAAGTTTGCATTTTGTGAGAATTTTTTAAATAAACAACTCCGATCTACCCATGTTTCAGGCGCAGTTTTTGAAGATATACACGGCCTTACCAAATATGGAATCGGTACAGAACCCTGAAATTTTAATTCACAAACGTCCTTTATTTTCAAAGCTTCCCTAGGTAGCAACGAAGGAATGTTTCCTTTATCCCTCACTGATATGAAGGGCTCAAAATGATATTATAAATTAACACGATGTTGATCAATAAGGACAACGCATCTTCATACAAAAAGGCATTGAAATATCATGTCATCTCATACAACCATGCGTGCCTGCAGAAGCTGTGGGAGTACTGAACACTTCAGAGCCTCGAACGCGGCTTGCCCAAACTATCGATAAAATACCCAAGCTAGCACTATGCGCTGAAACCAAATCAGGATAGTGTGTTCCTGAAGAGAAAGAAAACCTGTCTAATGAAAATGCTAATAAGCCTACTATGTCACCTAAAATACATGTATGCCCCATACCAGTCCCAGATCAGCAAAAAGGCCATGCGCATGTGGGAGCATTTTGCACTCAAGGAGTACACACACCATGCCCTCGCAATCCACTAATTATTCAAACTACTCTGCCTGAAAACATGTAAATGAATAAATGGAAGCTGTTCACAAACTGATATGGATATGAGACTGTCACTGTTGGGTGTTGACTATGCACATTTTTTGGTGAAATATTACATCTTGAATAGGGCTGTCATACCTGAGGGCCAAGCTTTAGAAGCTTTGAATGTCCGCGAAACCATGCAACGCCGGGATCGAGCTTCGCGACAAGAGGCAGAAATTGAGGCAGACGTTCGGTAAACCTTTTAAGAGATTAAGGCTATTACTGATAAGGTGCAAAAAAAAAAAAAAAAAAAAAAAAAAAAATTAATGCGTCAATTATTGCATAAATGCATATTTTAATATCTTTATGCCGATATAGAGCTGGTGCCAGAGTCAATCCAGGGAGCATTGCCCGTGTCACGATAGAAGAATTTCGTGAAGAGATCGTAGCTGGCGACAGCATCAGTTCTATATCTCACAGGCATTCGATCGGCGAGATGGTCCAGTGCAGACACTGTAAGGCGTTCGTTTGGCTTGAAGAGCGTCTAAAAGCTTCTACCATTCATTCGCCGGTTTTCTCGCTCTGTTGTGGACAAGGAAAAATTAGGCTGCCCGAACTTCGTCCAATTCCCCAGCTAATCGATCTTATCAGTGGTAATTCTGAAGAAAGCTGTGACTTTCGGACTCATATAAGGCAATACAATTCTTCACTCTCTTATGTCTCATTGGGTGCCAACTACGATCGTGAACTTGCCAACGCCAGGGATGGCGTGTACACATTCCGAATCAACGGGGCAGTGGTACACAGGATCGGGTCTCTCAAGTTCGCTCAAATTTACTTCCTCGATCCTGTGGCTACCAAAGGCGAGGATACAAGGCGATTGTTTTTCATTGATGGGTCAGGAGGGACAGGAAAGTCTTTTCTCTTCAATACAGCAATTGATTACATCCGTGGCACCCTTAAAAAGGAAGTCATCGTAGTAGCTTCCTCAGCAATAGCTGCACTGATTTTGAATTCGGGAAGCACTGCGCACTCTGTTTTTAAAATACCGATCCCAATCTATTCGAATTCGACTTGCAACCTCAAGCATGGGCAAAGTATCGCAAACAGGATTATAAATACAGATGTGATTTTTTGGGATGAAGGTCCTATGCAACACCGCCATGTTTTTGAAGCTGTTGATAGGACTATAAGAGACCTCACAAAGATCAATGAGCCATTTGGCGGGAAAATTGTTGTGTTTGGAGGAGACTTCCTGTTGTGAAAAATGGGTCAAGAGGGGACATTGTACATGCTTGCTTAAAAAGATCAGCGCTTTGGGAGCATGTAACAATGCTCAGGCTCACTATGAACATGAGGGTATTACGAGGCTCCTCAGATCCAGAGGCTCAAGCTTTCGTCGACTATTTGCTTCAAGTAGGAAGCGGTACAGAGGGCACGATACAGATTGGGTTTGAAAACGATTACATCAAGCTGCCTGAGCAGTGTATCTTCAGAACTACAGGCCTTGATTCCGAGGAGAAGCAGCTCATTGCGAGCATATATCCGCAGTTGGAACTTATCCTAATTTCTCTCTGAGCTACTGGGAAAGTCGTGCCATTTTATCTGCGCTTAATGAGGATGTCGACAAACTGAATGCTTTAGCAACAGGAATGTTTCCAGGTGGTGACCCAAGAGTCTACTATGGACAGGATTCTATCCCCGATGCTGAGGGCCCAATAGCAGCTACTTATACTACGGAATTCCTTAATTCCCTAAATCCTCCTGGAATGCCCTCTAACATTCTGAAGCTAAAGGTCGGGCAGCCCGTCGTCCTCTTGAGGAATATGAGTCCAATGGAGGGTCTCTGTGCAAACGTGTTATACAATACTGACTCAAACCTTTGAGGAGGGCTCAACTATCACGCGCACCCCAGGCGCCAAGAGGCCAAGCCCAAGTGCCAAGACACCAAGCCCCAACCCTATCAATTATCAGTATAAATAGTCCACTACGTTATAGCCAAATAAAGTATCCTTTGACCTTCGATTCCACCTAAGATCACCTTTGATTGTTACTATTTACATGGTAGCAAAGGTTCATCGAACCACCGACCCCGCCAGAAACCGCTTATATTTCCCTCTGATATTTTTCCCTAGATCCCTCTGATATTTTCCTAGATAAAATTTAAAAATTTACCCCTGCATTTGATTTTTTTTTTTTTTTTTTTTTTTTTTGCCATGGACAACCTCACCACTTCCTTGAAAGCTCTTAACCTTGATGCCAGTACCAGCCTATCCGTGCAGAACGCTGTGCAAACCTTCCTCGAATCCCGACAGGATAGTGCTTCTAGCGCTGCCGCCTTTAATGACCATGTCCGCACGGTGGCTGCTGTGATAAAACCTACCAAACCAGAACCATACGAGGGAAACGTCGACGCTGTCGCGGTCCTCAACTTCTTGGAGAACCAAGAAGAGTACTTCGAGATCATGGAGCTTAACCACTCACGTTGGGTCCGATATACCGTTGTCAACCTGAAAGGAGACGCCAAGGCATGGTGGCGAGACTCGGAAATGACAATTGATACACCATGGGACACTTTCCGAAGTAAATTCATCGAAAACTTCACACCCCCTGACACGGCTTCTTCAGCCCAGAAAGCACTGGTTCAATTAAAACAAGGTAAATCCTCAGTAGCGGAATACACTGCCAAATTCCGCCGCCTCCAACGCCTCACACCCAAACTGGAGGAATCATGGCTTGTCCTCCATTATACCTACGGCCTTGTAGAAGACACAAGCAAGGAAGTCCTCCTTCGCCAGCCTCAGACTCTCAACCAGGCCATCAAGCAGGCTACGATGATCCACAGCATTTTACATTCCTCTAGACCCCCCATCATGACAAGCCAAACAAGCCAACCCACACCGACCCCGATGGACCTAGACGCAATGCAGATGATGTTCAATAACTTCCTACTACAGAGTACAAACTCCACAGGCTTAGCGAACTTCCATCGCCCCCCCTCGACTAACAACAGACCACTCTCCAAGCTCACCGAAAATGACAGAACAAAACTGCGCCGCGCAGGCGCTTGCTTTCGCTGCAGAAAGAAGGGACACATGGCCAAGAACTGCCGCGTGACTAGGAACTTGAACAACCTGGAACAACAAGACGACTACGACGACTCGGGAAAAGAGGAGAGCGAGCTGTAGACCAGGCCAGCCTCGCTCTCACCACCAACCCTCGAGTCCTGGGCTCTAGAGGGCGTAGTCATATGGATTTAAGTAGTAACAACAGTAATAAAAACTCTAGTTCTCCTAAATCCATGATTATGCCTTCTCGCTCCTCTCCCATATTTTCTCTATCCTCTCTCTTATCACTACCCTCTAAAAGCACCTTGCACCACACCACTTCCATTCCTCCGGATTCCCTAAATCACCTCTCCCCCGATTCCCATCCCGCGTCATCTGTCACTGAAATCAAACCATCTTCAAACCAAGACACAAATGAAAATTCACCTACCCCCTCTACTTCCCACGAACACCTTGCTAGTAAACCACCCCGTCGTCGTCGTCGTCATGCCACACACCTCCAATCCCTGTCCGCTGTCTACACCAATGCGAGACGACTACTAACCTTCATTGGGGCCGTCAACGGACACCCTGCGCGAATCCTCATTGATGGTGGAGCAGAAGGAAATGTATTGAGTTCAAAATTTTGCAGAAAACATAACATTATCATAGACAACGCGAACCCTATCCCTATCATTCATCCGAATGGCACAGCAGTCATGTCCCCAGGAACCGCATCTGTTACCCTCGAACGTGGTTCCTATGGTGAAAAGATTCAAAGTATCATCTACCCCTCGAAAAAATATGATCTCATCCTAGGGAAACCTTGGCTAACCGCAGTCAATCCCCAAATCAACTGGCGCACTAACGATTTACACTTTGAACACGATGGTAAACACATACTATGGGAATGTCGAGGGCATACCTCCTTCTCCGCTCGTCAAAATTGCCTTTCTGCCATAAACTTTGCTGCATTAGCATTAGAACCCGAAACGACAACATTCTTGGCCCAAGTAAGAACCACTTCACCACCAACAAACCTAGACTCAACACTACCCGAATCGATTCAACAAATTGTCCAAGTAGAATTTCCAGACCTCTTTCCTGACACACTACCGGACGGACTCCCTCAGGATCGTGGCGATAGCATGCGAATCGAGACTGAAAATAATACCGATCCACCTGTAAGACCAGTCATTCGCTTATCAATTGCTGAATTAGACGAACTAAAAACACAACTCACAGAACTACTGCGCAAAGGCTTCATCTCTCCAAGTACATCACCCTACGGAGCACCAGTTTTATTCGTTAAAAAGAAGGATGGCGGACTGAGGATGTGTGTAGACTACAGAGGATTAAACAAAATAACCCGT